AAATTGCATTTTCTCTCGTTACCATAATCATGTGATTAGGAACGACAACTTTTTTAAGCAGATTAATATATAAATCTGCTAGATCTTCGAACATCAATAAAGGATTGGGATTCTTCGTTTGAAAAATTGCATTCACCTTACATACGTCATCCAGTATATAAAAAATGAATGTCAGAAATAATTGGTTATTCTTATCTTTATACATATTGGATAACATCTTTCCGTATTGCGAGCTAAATCAAAGTGTAGAGTCAATGCATCACATTGATCTAAAATTTTACCTATGCAATCACGTCTTGTCAACCACCTTGTGGCACTGAGATGGGACAGTTTTAGAGGGTACTTGTCCTCATTTAATGTTTTATACAGTTCAGCATGATGAAATGATGAAATCTTCTCTTGTAGGAATATGAAAACTACGAGCAAGTTTCTCTAACTAAATAATCTAAATTTCTAGGTAATGTTTCAGTTGCGTGCTATGCTGCTAAATGCAAAGAATGACAAATACATTTGTTTAAAATAAGATGCTCACCAGCATCTTGTCTAAGTAAAGTAAAAACAGAATTGTGTTCACCTACCATAGTATTAGCTCCATCTGCACCAATACCACAAAGGTGCTTCAAAGGAATACCATCGTCCTTAAGAGATTTTATTAATGCGGTAGTAATACCAACAGCGTTACATTCCTGTAATGAAACTAAACAGTACATGGTGTCAATTATTTTTGATTTTTGCACACTCCAGTATCTTATTACAGCACCCAAACGCTTTATATTTGAGCAATCATTACTCTCATCCAAGATTAAACTATAAGACGAAGACCCAATGTCATCGACGAGTTCTTTTTTTAGAGCTGGGGCTAATACTTCCGTTATTATTCCAGTGCACTTTGTGCGATGCAAATGTTAGTTAAAATGATCGCCATCAAGTTCTTTCAAAAGTTCGGTAAGATGGTCTATACACTGAATAGACGAATGTTCTGCAATATATGTCGCTAATTTCATTTCTTTTATTTGTGTTTCTCTTTTAACAGAAGGTTTTAAAAAAATATCTATTTTAGAATTGTCCGTAATTCCTTTCACATTTGTCTCATGTTTCTTTGTTTTCGCGTGATCAAGTAAATCTTTTTTTTCTAGCAGTGATGGTAACCTAGTAAAAAAAAGAAAAAAATATATAAAAATATGTACCTATTTTTTTCCTGTAAATGTCGAAAAATAGTTAACAGAAATAACAGTGTAAAACACCCTACACTAATGAAAATAAATAAATATTAAACCAAGGAACATTTAACCAATTCTAAACATGAACACTTCCTTCATACCTTGCAAGCTTTGCAGAACGCGCGGGAATCATCTCCCACGCATTTCGTCAACCATGTTTTGAACACTTCTTTATCCTCCCAAGATATTTTATATTTTTAGAGTACTGTTTGATTTTATTCAAAAAAGACATCTTGGAATAATTATCCTTGATAAAATCAATCACAAAATAATTCGTACTCATGAGTTGATGCTACTTTTTGCTTATAACTTAGTTTTACAATTGGTTTTGGTATAATACCTAGAATAAAGTTTAAAATATGTATATTTGCTTATTATTTATGTCCATATATATTTACAGAATGGATACATCTAAGCTAAAAGCATTATATTATATATATATATATATATATATATATATATATATATATATATATATATATATATATATATATATAGAGAGAGAGAGAGAGAGAGAGAGAGAGGCGGCGCGACAATTCGCAATTCCTAAACAGACAATATTAAATAAAGTAAACAAGTCTCATACAAAGTGTCGGATGTCCAACGCGATTATCTGATGACGAAGAAGCCAAATTTATTAAAGTTTTAATTGCTACTGGGGAATTTGGATGCCCACTTAGTAAATTGGATCTTCGCCTCGTCGTGTTTGAATACTTGAAGAAAAATAGCCGCGAGGATGTATTTAACGGAGGACCTCCTGGAAAAACATGGCTTGATAATTTTTTGTCAAGACATTCATTAGATTTGTCAGTTCGTAGTACGCAGAATATTAAAAAAAATAGAGCTGAGAAAGGGGTTGATGAGTTCATGGAATATTTTAGAAATTTAGAAGAGACTTTGAAAGATGTTGCTCCATCAAATATACTCAATTTTGATGAAAAAAATTTAACAGATGATCCAGGATCTTCAAAATGTATATTTAGGCGAGGAGTAAAATATCCCGAGCGAGTGCTCAATTCAACTAAAGGAGCCATTTCGCTGATGTTCTCAGTTACAGCGAACGGGAGTTTGCTACCTATTTACGTTGTCTATAAGGCAGAGAATTTATATTCTGAATGGATTCAGGGCGGACCGCGTGCTACTAGGTATAACCGCACAAGATCTGGGTGGTTTGATTCTTTTGTTTTTGAAGATTACTTTAACACAACTATTATGGATTGAACAGTCTTTACCTGGTAAAAAGGTCATTATATGCGATAATTTATCAAGCCAATTAAATGTGAGTAATATCGAATTATGTGAGTGTCACAATATTCAGTTTGTTTTCATTTCATCTAGCTCGACACACATAACACAACCCCTTGACGTCGCTTTTTTTTGCACCACTTAAAAAAGTGTGGCGAGCAATATTACTCAAGTACAAAATGGAAAATCCCAACCAAACTACTCTGAATAAGAATCATTTCCCAAAACTTTTACATTCCTTAGTTGATCAAGTTGAAATATATTCATCTAAAAATATCAAAAGCGGATTCAGAGCAACAGGGATCTACCCATTCAACCCAAGAGAAGTACTGAAGCGTGTACCAGAGTATCAAGAAGATGTGGCATCATATGGGATTGACAATACATTGCTAGACTACTTAAAGCCGATCAGGCAGCCAAATCCTATGATAACAAAAAGAAACAAGAAAGTTATGACTGTACCTGGAAAATGAGTAACAGTCGATGATTTACTGCTGACTTCCCAACTCTCAAAATCGAATGTACGAGGCAAAGTCAAGTCATCCAAGAATACTACGACACTCACGAAGGTAGATCCTGCTGCCTCACTCGCAAGTGTCTCACTCGAGAATTTTAATAAAAATTACAATTATGACATTAGTTATATTTTAAACGAAAAAACGGGTCTCATGGAAGCCACAAAAAACACTGATTTAGTACTTGAAACTGATTTACCCGTGATTTCGATAAAAGACCAAGACAAGCCCAAAAAGATAAATATTCTATCCGACATCATTTTACCAGAATATAAGACTGAGCCTATTGCAAAAACTAAAACTAAATACTTTACAGAAATTGATACAAGCTTTAACATTTTATCACAAACTTTCCTTCAGAACGCAATATTATCATAGAAAAACCACATACGGAAAATTCGGATGGTAAGGTAAGAAAAATAGATAATATTGCTTTTAATATTAACGTTCATGGTGTTTTAAGTAGTGACGATAATGAGGATATTAGGGATGTTGTGAGTTGTTCTGCAAATAGCAGAGAGAAGACTAGCAGTAAAAAAAGGAAGAAAAATCGTCGTTTGAGAAAAACTGTCAAAAAGGAAAACGTCAAACCAGTTAAGAAACCAAGAAAATCTCTAGATAGTTCTACAACTACTGAGGAAGATTGGATTAGCACCCATAGTGATTCTGACATAATTGAAGCACTTAGTTATGTTACAAATTTTGAAATAAGTATAAAAGAGTCTACAAATATTGATGAATCTATAAATATGGAAGAATCTATAAATAAATAATAAAAGAAGATATACATCAAATTGACAAGAATTCAAAGAAAAAAGAGTATTATGAATTAGGAGAAAAAGTGTTGGTAAGATACTATCAGTCAAATAAATGGAAGTACTATGTAGGATTAATTGAAAGTGTTAATGACAATTCAAAAACTTTTAATATATCTTATTATAAATGCATAAAAACAAAGGATTCGGATGATATTAAATTTACCGTACCGTACCAGAAAGTAACATTGTTAAAATTATAGAACTTTTACAATTCAATGAAAGTCCTGAAGAATATGCATTAATGTGTGATAATGATTCTGTGTACTTTTAAGAATTTGATATTATGTCTTGTGTTATCACAAAAAGTATATTGCTGTATTTCTTTGGTATTTACTAGAATGTGTCATTTACACGCTCATTTCCTAAAGTTCCTAAAGTATTTTTTTCATTTATTATTTTTTGTTTTCAGTAGGTACCTAGGTTCTAAATAAACACTTTAAGCTTGGTACCTATTGTTATATATATTTTTATTTATAAATTTGAGTTTTCTCTTTCACTTAAACATGATGATTAAGTAGTCTTGAGATTACTAAATTGAAAAATGAATCTTTTTTTTAAGAATTTTGATCTCACAAATACGTGATAGTAATTTAAGTACTTATTCATAACCATTTAATACTTGATATAATTTGATATTCTATGTTGTTGTCTACTTGCTTAGTAAAAGTGCCATATTTTATATGCTAATAATCGCATTTTATTATATGAGATTGTACCAAATAAATTTCATATAATAAAATGCGATTGATTAAAAACATGTTTTTTTTTTGTAAAACACCCAACCAATATATAATAATTAAAAAAATTTGACAACCCTGAGTCTAAAACTGTTTTGTATGGAAATTTAAAAAAAGTTTCGGGTATCTTTGGCCACCTCGCTGTAAGCCAAAATATTTAACTTTTTGTGATTATTGCCTTTTATACGCCTTTTTTGGCCAGTTTCCTGTCATATTTCTTAAAGTAAACGGCATTGAGACCATAATTCAAGAGTTATAAGCAGTGGCTAATGTTGACAGAAAGCTAAAGTAATTTTGGCCGACCAAAAGAAAATATTTTTAGGTAAGAAACTGTCCTAACTTTCGCAATTTCCGTGAATTAACGTCAATAGTTGAGGTTTCTGGTGTTAAACAAATATGAAAAACTAATACTTTACTAACAGTTTTTTGGATTTAAAGTTGATTAAGTGCAAAATGTGGCCAATGTTGGTTTTACGGTAAATAACTTAACTTTATTTAACAACGGGCGGTGAGCATAGGTTACTGACTATGTACTAGAGGCGGTGAGTGTAGTTGGTTGATTCAGTTTTTTTTAAAGTTTCTTGGCTGTGGAAACTTGATTTTTAGCCGCAGACAGAGAAACCTATAGACTAGATATAATGATTAGCGTGACCTCGAGTGAGAAAGGACGATAACGTAGTTTCAGGATATACAATAATCTTTGTGTCTTTTAAACATATTTAGAGAAAATTTTTAATTGTTCTAAAAACTGAACTGAACAAGATTTACCAATCTGAAGCTCGCAAAACACTTTTTCTCACTTAAACCATCTTGTAAACTCCTTAGATCGCTACGAGCTGTCAGTTGTTTAGCAAAGTGTAGTTTGCTAAACAAAAAAACCGGCACGGAGAAAGGGACAAACAATCACAACGCTCTGTCTCATTTCTATGCAAGACGTGTGCATAAATCTATCTTTTTCGTGTGCGAATGCGAAAGAAGGCGTCAATTTGTCTATAGGTTTGTCTGTCTACGCTTTTAGCTGAAATTATAGACAAAACAGTTCGATGGTAAAATAATGTGTTGCCAGCTTATAAGTTTTATTATTCATTCTATTCGGCGAAACGAATTGTTGGCATTGTCTATTTTAAAAAGAATTCGGAAGTTGATAAGACTAGTGAAAACCTTCAGAAAAACCTCTCGATTAATTTAGTGATATTAAAACCTTTAAAAAAACCTCAATGACATCCAAAAACCCCTAGATTGAGGAAAAACCTCTACATTTGGCAACACTGGCATGAGCCCTAATAGTAGCGCTTCGAACGTCGTTGTGGAAGGTTGCGCCGCTCGTTGGTCCAGGACGAAATTACGAAGGTGAATATTTGATTCCCTTGGTTTTGATTAGCTAGGTCGTTGATTACCCTGACCACGTTTATAAATGTAATATGAGTTTTAAGGATTTGTTGTCGGGTGTTAATGGAACAGCTTGATGATCGTTATTTATTTATTTCATTTTTATTATTTAAAACGTATTCTTTTTATCAAGAATCGATAAAAACATCCTACTTTTTGATTCCATTGGCATTGATTCCCTTGGTGTTTGCGCCAAGGTAATCAAAATTCCTGATGAAAAATCGAAATATTCCTAATTTTCAATGAAAACAAGAAAATTAGCGTATTATTTCTTACACATATATTTATTTTTTATCCGTTTTATCGATTCAAGATTATTTTTTGGTGTTATTGAAATTTATCAATATGAACAATTTATATGAATATCTTAATGTTCTTGTTCATTTCGCAAACAAAGCCCAAACCAACTACGAAACAAATTCTAGATATCAGCTATGTTAAGTTTTTAAATCACAAGAAATAGAAAGGCAAAAATATTTGAAGAAAAAAAATCTGGGAGGATTATACCAGTAGGAGAAATTAGTCCACGGCAGTAAAAACTTGCAAGAAAGAAAAGTAGGGAAAGTTCAAATCGTTACAACCAGAAGAAGAAACTTAGAAAAATCCAGGATCTTGAAGAAATAGTCAATTATTCAGATAAGGAAGATTCAGAAATAAATAGTCATAACAACGAAGATCCTCTAAGTCTGATTCCATCTCACTCGTCTAATTCTTTTGCCACTGAATCATCGCCACCTCCAAGTCCCGATAGTGATATATACGCACCACCAAGTCGAATCACAAGATCTACAAGAAGAAAAAATCTCGATCAGACTTCTGTACATCAACTTGGTTTGGAATTAGAACCAACTTCATTCAGTGACACCGACACATCTTCTTCTCGAAGTCCCATTAGTGACATAACTACCGAATCAATACCAAATCCAATTCGATCCTCAAACAAAAAACCAAAATCAAGCCGGTCACAAAATGTCTATTAAGAAAACATCGCCCTGGAAGTACCTTTTAAGAAAAATGAAATATAGGACAGACAAGGAATTGCTAACAAAAGATAGAAAAATTCAAGAATTTAAACTAATAAATGAGAAGTACAGAAAATAGATAAATAGATTAAAAAATAGTAAGTCTGAAAGAAAAGCAGTTGAAATGTCTATAACCCAAAATAGTCAAAATAAAAAAGAAAAAATCGACTCTCAAAAACGATTTATTGAAACATCAAAAACTAAAATGAAAACAGCAATAGAAAAGTTTTTCGAAGATGATGAAAATAGTAGACTTTACCCCGGAAAGAAAGAATATGTAACACGGCATAAAATTAGAAAACAAAAGCGATACCTAAATTTCAACTTGCATCAGTTACATCAAAAGTTCCTCAAACAGAATCACGAGTATAAAATTAGTTATAGCATTTTTTGCACCTTACGACCATTTTGGACAGTAATTCCAAACGTCAACGCCCGAGAGACGTGCCTCTGTATTGCTCACGAGAATATGAACCTAGCTGTTATGGCTCTTAAAAGACACGTGATAATAGCAGAAAAATCGACGTATGATGTTCTTAAATTCCTGTGTTGTGATTCGAGGAATGTAATATGTTTGAGTAGAAACTGTGACTGCTGTAAAATAGGCATTTGAATTACCAGGAATTTGATAATTCCAAGGGAAGTCACTACTGGTTTTGGACAAAGTCTAAAAAGAAATATATCAAGAATGGACAAGAAAAGGTTACCAAGCAATCATTGAAGCAAAAAGTATTAGCATATCCTAAAAATATAATAGAGCATTTTGAAAAATTTTTAGCCATATATGTGCCATTGCGCAAATATTGTTGCTCAGAATAAATACATCAAGAATTTGAAGTCAAATCTGAAATCAGGATAATTCATAGCGAAATACGCTTCTGAGATACAGTCTTTTCATTTTGGGAGTTCAAGACAACAAGTGACCCAAGTGTAAAAAATGAAGAGATTAGTACCAAATCATTTTGCACCCTGAGCGAGTGCTTACGATACGATGCTGTGGCAATTTGGGAGCACTTGATTCCTATCCTGAACTTCATTGAGAAGGAGGTTTCCGAAGTGAAGTTTTTAAATTTTATATCTGATTCCCCATCTGCACAGTACCGTAACCGTAAAATGTTTTACGTGATGGCCAAACTTCATTGCAACTATCCAAATTTACGTCGCGTGGTTTGGAATTACTCCGAAAAAGGGCATGGAAAGGGAGCTCCAGATGGTGTGGGGGGGAGTATTAAAAAGAACTGCTGATCAAATTGTTGCTCAAGGGAATGACATCCCAAATATTGAAGCCTCAATCAGCCATCTTAAAATTAGATGCCCGGGTGTTTCTATAGAGGAAGTTGTAGAATCAGGCATTTTAGAAAAGGAATTATTGATTCCTTCAGATCTAAAAGAATTTCGTGGTACCATGGCAGTGCACCAAACTATATGGAGCTGCAATAATCTTGAAGTATTAGCCATGAGGCGTCTTAGTTGTGATATAGGAATATGCTCTGAAGAATCAGTGCAATGTTCACATGGACAACATATTGGCTTCTATAACATTGGGAATACAGCTTTAAGCAACAATACTTATCCATCAAAAACTAGGAAAAATAATGCTATAGCTGAGCGCAGTAGAACATCTTTCGGAATTTCCATTTCTAAACCAGACCATGGACTGGATGAAATTTCAGTCGAAGACCGCTCTGACATTAATATACCGCCTGATGACAGCTTCTGGACTGATATTCCTTCAATGAATGAAAATTTAACATCTACCACCATGACCAAAACCGTATTAACAGCCCTCCATTGTGAAGATGATAATTCCAGCTCAGATTACAACATTTTTTAGATTAAGTATTACCCTGATATCGATAATAGCTTTGATTAATAATCTGAGTGTAGTTGATTTTAAAAACAAAATATTTGTTTTGAGTTATTTCTTTTTCAATTGTTAAGAATTATGTTACCGAAAATATAGATCGTTGATTTTTTATAATTTTTGCTAATATTGTTAACTTTAAAAAAGGAATAGTTTTAGTGTTTTAATTACATTTTCCTATTATTTGATAAGTGCTTAAGGTAAAAGTGCCAATTTCTACAACCAAAAGACTGACTAGTACTATATAGAGGTATAGACCTACTATAAAATTATAATAGAACTTGAATTTCTTATATATATTGTTTTAATTTTGAACACACATCTCACACAATTCTCAGGATTCACCCTTACGTCAAGGGTATGTCCAGCCATCCGGATAGCACGACATTTTCGCGCGGCGGATTATGATAATATAACCGAGAACTGTCAAATATTGATTGGGAAGACCATTTAAATCTAAACAATATTGATGTTGCTGTTGATAACTTTTATAAAATTGTGCGTGATGTGATAAATAGGTTTGTCCCTCATAAAGTTGTTAAAATAATAATAAATACCCAGTCTGGTTTAATAAGCGTCTAATTAAACTCATCAATAGAAAACTTAAACTTCATAAAATTGGAAAATTTTCGGTGGACAGTGACAACTTTTGGAATGCGCGACGTGATGTTAAAGAATATGAAGTTTTATGCTATGACCAATTTATTAATCACGCTGAGAGAAATATTCGAGTTAACCCCAAGTACTCTTGGTCATTCATTAAAACAAAGCGAAAAAGCTGTGATGTACCCGATACTCTATACTTTGGTCATATACATGCCTCGGAGTGTCATAATTGCTGATCTATTTAATTCATCCTTTCATTCTATATTTGAACCACCCGGCATTAATGTTATGAACTGCGGTACGGAAAATAACAATTGTGTAATTAATTGTGTTTACATTGATAACGTTTGTCAATGAAGCCGCTGATGCTCATATTCCTTTTTACAGAACCAGCCAAGATCCCTCACAACATTTTTCTCCTAAAGTGTATTGGAATACTAACTTATCTAAATCTGTTGCAGAAAGGCGCCTAGCTCTTGGTTTATTTAGGAAAAACCCTACTCCTGATAACTTAGATAAATTAAAAGATAAAATTAGAATTTCACAACTGCTAATTAGAAAGGCAACTAGAAAATCTTTCTCTAATTTTTGCTCTTCGATTGATGAGTCTATTGCTGTACACGACATGTGGCAAAAAATGAAATGGTTAAAAGGTTATGGGTGTTCTAATAGAAATAGGAGTTATGTTGATCTAACAATTGCAAATGAGCTTTTACACAGTTTGACTCCAGACTTTGTTTGTCCAAAAGACCCTGCTTTCATCTCGTAACACTAAAATTGACTCTCCTTTTTCAATGAGCGAACTAACGTGCTGTTTTAAAACAAAAGATACTTCTCCAGGTGTGGATAATATATATCATATTCCATGATCAAACATCTTCCCAAAGACGCATGTATTATTTTACTCAAACTATTTAATTTGTTTTACTCTCTAAGTTTTGTACCATTCCAATGGCGAGAAATACGTACGTATACCAATCCCAAAAACAGGGCGTGACACTTCAACTTTATCATCGCTTCGACCTATTTCACTTATGTCTTGCCTGAGTAAAATCTTCCATGCTATGTTGAGAAATAGATTGGAATGGTTGATGGAAAATGAAAATCTATTTTACGAAGAGACTACTGGATTTAGGAAAACAAAATCATGCCTAGATAATCTTAGTAATTTAGTCAGTAGAATACAATTGGAATTTTCAAAAGATCAAATCACAATAGGTTGCTTTATTCATGTAGAGAATGCGTACAATAACATAGATATTACGGCTATGTTAGTAAATTTGGATCGATTAGGTGCTGGTTCAAAAGTTTGTAAATATTTATGGACCTTCTTAAAGAAACGATACTTAAGTGTCCAGGTGGACAATGTTATTTTATCTAGATCTACAGGTCGAGGAATTGCTCAGGGTGACCTTATCGCTCCACTACTATTTAATATTGCAACTATTCATGTTTGTAAACAAATTAATCCTAATGTATTTATTTCTCAGTATACTGATGATTATGTGTTATATACTTCCGGTAAAAATTTAAATGATTGCTTCCACAGAATTACAATTGTCCTTAAATAAAATGTATGGTTTGCTCATAGATTTAGGATTGGAGATTTCAATGACTAAAACAAAGATCTGTATTTTTAAAAAAGGTATATGTAGGCTAGCTATTTCAGTAAGTGTTAATGATAATAAAATAGAAGTAGTGAACACAGTCAAGTATTTAGGGATGTGGCTAGACCGGTCTTTGAAATAGAATAAACATATTACGGAGTTAACGAACAAAATTTCTGGATTTTTAAACATATTCAAAGTTTTAGTAGGACCTGGTTGGGGAATACATCCCAAGCATTTAAGAAGACTATATATTGCCGTTATAAGAAGTAGGCTTGATTATGGGAGTTATTTATTCGATAACAGCTGTCAAAAGTAAAGTTAGACAAAATACAAAATCAGGCATTACGAATAATTGGAGGATTCATTAAAACTACTCCTATACATACAATGGAGAGTGAGTTATGTCTACCTCCACTAAATGTACGAAGAACCTTTTTGGCAGGGAAATTCATCTTAAAAGCTAAATCAATAAGAAATAACATCACACTAAAATATTGAATGAATTAGCACATTTTAGAAACAATAAATATTGGCGTAATAAAAAGGAACCTTTACTATTATCTGTTTATGATCACTTCGTTGATATCCCTATTCACAGTAGTCAAAAATTAGAAATATTTAATATAAGTACATGGGTCAGTAACATAGGTTTAAATAACATAGTTAATTTAAATATTCCGTGTATTGCACAAGCTAAACGAAATTACAACAATTTTAGTCTAAAAGTAATATGTTTGGACTACATTAATAGGCAGTATGAAAATTATTATAAAATATTTACAGACGGCTCCAAAGATTCAGGCGGAATCGGTGCAGCCTTTTTTGACCCACAATGTAATCTTAGCTTACAATTTAAGATAGATAGTAGTATATGCGTCATGGAGGCTGAGCTAGTAGCAATATGTGAATCACTGTCATACGCTGCATCACTATCACAAGATAATATTGTGATATTGACAGACTCAAGAAGCGCACTCCAACACTTGGCTCGGTGCACCTTGGGTACACGAAGCACACCGATAGCCTACACCATTCTGGATACTATACATGGGTTAACATCCAGGTCGAAATCGATAAAGTTGCAGTGGATTCCGTCTCATTGCGGCGCGGAACAGGCTATTACGGAGGGCATCGAGTACAACATGTTACCCCATTACACTGATTGTATTTGTATTATAAAAAGGCTATGTTACAACCTATGGAAATAATATTTCGATTAACGTTCAAAAGAAAAGGGTATTTGGTACAAGATGGTAATGCCACATCCGTCTAAAATACCATGGATTGATAACCATAAGCTATGGCGACAGGATACAGTAGTGATAATGAGGCTGCGTACTGGACACATTCCATCTAGAAAGTTTGCATTCCTTATGAAAAAGGTCCAGTCACCGAACTATGATCAAAGCGGTGTTCCAGAGGACCTAATGCATGTCTTGATGAATTGTGCCCACAACGCTGCCTTTCGTAATGATAAATGCCACCACATTTTAAAAGATTTCGCTGATTGTAATATAATTTTAGTTAAGCCACATTCTGACGATATAAAAATATAAGTCAAGCTTTACAAGGTGAAGTTCTCGGATCGATCACTCACTTCTCAATGTGATTGATCTGGGAACTTTTCATTTTACTTTTTGTAACTAAATGCATATCTTCTTTAACTTTCTGTAATTAATTATTGATTAGAGAACTTTATAATGTAATAAGTTTAAGTATACCTAATGTAATTATTTTTTTTGGTGATGAATTAACGGATGCGACATATTCATATTGTGAATAAGCTCATTAATAAAGAATTAAAAAAAAACGTTAGTCAAAAAATATTTGAAGAATCTTGATATAAATAAAGGTACTAGCCCTGACTATATTCATCCAATCTTTCTCAGATAATGCAGTATGCACTTAGCAGCTCCTCTTTCATTACTCTTTAAGATGTATTTATTCTGCGGTCAGGTAGCGGTTTCTCAAAATCTCCAGAACAATAAAACGATCGTCCTGGGCCGATGTGCACCTTCCGCCCCTACTACGTAGCGGCCTGTCTCCTGGTATCGTTTCAGTGCATACTGCATTGAGGACCGTGGTACGTTAAGCACAATAGCAACTTCACGCTGTGTTAGCCCTTGGTCAATTAATGCTACTGCTTGTGCAACTTGTACTGCTGTTAATGGCATTTTTATCGGTTTTAAAGCACCTTTAGTTATTGAAGTAAAACACAAGATCACAATAATTGAATAACCTTACAGTAAACTTTTTAAAATGTTAACTTAGTCGCTCAAACGACCCGATTCAACTAAACATTAAAGAATTCATCATGGTGCACTTAAACATAATGAATTACCCTCTAGAACTCGCAGGTAAACATTTTTTGACATATCTGCACAACAAACATTCATCAGAAACACTTAAAGCTTTTGCTACCGCGAGATAAGCCCTTACCAAAATTCCGTGCCGCTGAGTAGATCCCCCATTCGTTTTAAGTCATATTCGTCGTTTAAGTCGTATCATTTAGATGACCTAGGTTTAGTGCTCGCTCCAACGCAGCTTTCTCAAAATTTTTTTGCAGCACTAAGTATTCGAAAAATCGGTTTCTGGTCCGTGCTTGCAATACACAACATAATGGATGTTATAACTTATAACCATATTGATATATTTAACTGCGAACTAAGCGGTTATATGTCATCTATTGAGCAAGTTGATCACGCTTAGACGGAGTGTTTACTTCCTGTTCTTTTTCTGAATATGAAATTACTTTTACTACCATTGCTATGGCAAAACATAAGTATGAACTTCATTTAATTATGTCTAAATTTTTCGCAATGCAATTCTTAACCTTGGAAACTGTTCTGGCTACTGTATTGTTAACATTCATCTGACATTCAAATGTAAGAGCTGTAAGTTTCTTTGAATAAGTAAATAAAAAAAATCTAGAAGCTGATATATTTTTATTTGAAACTAACTTCTCACTCAAACGACATTATGTAACAAAAAACTTCACCGCAGTGTTAACCATCCACATCTGGTGAGCGTAAGATCATTAGCCCTCAATGGATACATCACGCATCAACAATATTTAAACTGTAAAAGTATTGTGCAGCAAAAACAAACCAATTGCCTCAAGTAATTACGACATAACGACTGAAAACTGTACGTATGATAAATCAAAAAAAATATATTTCGAAGATATGTGAAGTCTGCCACACGGATTGAGGCAGCACGACGGACGACGGCGGAGCATAGAAAACAACTTACCGATACTTAACTGTGTTGTGATACAAAATATCAATAATTAAAACTGTATAAACCTGGTGCATCAAAACATACAAGGCAAAAATGTTCGGCAAAAAATTATCAAAGTTCCGAAGTAAAGCAGTATATATAGAATAGCTCCGAACTACCACTCGGAGCGTTGGCCGCTCCCCGGGCAGAACACCTGACCAACCGATGTGATGTGAACAAGAAACCAAACAACCTTCGGAAACTATGACGTCAAACCTTCGTCATTGTTTTAAAGAACCCCTATTATTTACTTCCGAGAATCGTCTTGTGCAGTATTCAGCTCCTGCTAGCCAGTCCAACTTGTCTACACATTGAAATAATACTAGTTTTTACGGAATTTATCGCGTGTGTTTAACTTTTTAATTACCCGACGTTTCGAACGCTTTACAGCACTCATGGTCACGGGCAGGACTGAGATGTTCAACGTCCATATGTCATAGTTAACCGCGGTTACCATAGATTAAAATTTAACTTTTGTTCCGATCTATGCAGTATGAACTTATGGTATCTTGAAATCTTGCAGTTAGCAGTTGCACCTGGGCGTTAATGCTATACAAACTAGCCATCGCCTCCTTGTCTAGATATAGATCAAGGGGCGTTAGACACAGAAGTGCATTAAGACCTGCTCCAGGCGACCAGCGTAGACCGTAGACATCGAAATTTAATGCGTAAGATTATACAAATAAGGAGTGCAATCGCATATGCTAAAATAGTAAACTTTCATGTCTTATAAAATACTCGCATAGAACAGTGATCCGTAATTATATACAAATAAGGAGCACAATCGCGTTTACAAAAATCTTTAAAACCGTTAAAAGTTCCAACTTTCAAGCCTTGTTGGAAGAAAAATACTTGCATAGAACATTGATCCGTAACTTTATATAAATAAGAAGCAGAATTGCATTTACAAAAAAAAACTTCCAATCCTTTAGAGTAAATGTACCTTGATAGAACATTGATCCGTAACAGAATATAAATAAAGAGCAGAATCGCGTCAAGTGTCGACAGAGCGGCAATATTCGAATACTTTGAAGTCTTGCGACTATTTTGGGTCGGCACTTGGTCTGCGAACTTGCAAGTAAATACCTGGTATAAAAACCGAGCAGGAGATACATAAACACACTTTAACGGCAATTCACGTAAGTAAAATTAAAGATAAAAAGATCAACAAGAAGAGTTATGTCCTACTGTGAGTTCGGACTCGGATAGTTCAGACAAAATTTGTCAGTCAGATTTTAGTCTCTGGAGTGATCATCATAAACTGGTTCAGCGGAATTGGAGAACTTATAAAAGTAATGAAAGATTTTCAGATGAGTTATCTCTTTATTTTAGGGCTGCAGTTAGTAGATTTAACGAAAATCCATTAGTAGTGTGAACCGATTACAAAGTCCAATTCGAAGTTGTACAATATAGCACACAAATATTTAACCAAGGTGGCCAGCTCAGTGCCATATGAAAGACTTATCTCAAAAGCTACACAGAGAAGCAAAAAAGCCAAACGCGTAGAAAATTTTGTTTTTACAAGGTTTGGATAAAAAATATTGGGACACAAAAATAAAGCTGTTTTAACCCCGGCTGTTTTTACTTATTTACTCATATAAACTGTACGTCTTTAGTTTTTTAAATAGAAAAAAAATATATCGATATATCGATATATTTCGTCGATATGTCGAAAAGTACCGATACAACATTGCGATATATTATATCGAAAAAAATATCGATACTTTTTTTACATGAACATCCCTACTAGCAGTACCGCTGCCAGGGGGGTACACTTCCATACTTTAGGTTGGGGATTCCGTAATTTGCAAAGACACTAGTGCCATCTTGTACGACATCCGCGTAAACTTTCGCTAAACATTAAATTCTAAAAGGTGCGCTAGATGGCGACACCAATTATGGTTACTCTCGAACTGGCAAGTAGCAACTTTATATGACATAATGGCTACCGGCGTTTGAGCAAGTTGTTGTTTTATTATAGTTTATAAGTGATTTTCGGTTGTTGCTACAATAAGTTTGGTTGAGCTGGGATTAGTCCTCTGTTTCTTGTTGTCTGTTTAGATTTTCATGCTGGAACCACATTGTATGTTTGTGTAGTGTAGTGCGAAATAGACGCTTTCATTTATCATTCCGGTAACCCGGTGGACATATTGTTGCGCGCCTAAGTTGATTTCTGGCACTAACGCCATCTAGTGTCGGGTAACAGGAACCCTAAGCTCGTAACAATATTTAATTTCGTTTGGTGTTGTATTTTGCGGAATAGACGCTTTTACATCGTGTATGTTAAATATATATAACAAAAATAAATGTTAATATTACTGAAATCTATAATACGTCTTTAATTGAACCCTAATCCCTTAAAATATAAATATAACCGACTATAGTATAAATAGCTGTATATACATAACTACATACAGCTATCTATAGTCATCACGACATTGAGATTAGGGGTATGTTCCGAAATACAACGCAGTGTACTGTCCAATGCAAATGACGTCTGGAATAGACGCTATACTGGTGATTCGTTCCAAAACATTGGACAGTATATGACGTCATACTTTTGCGCCATTTGGAAAAGTCTTGGCGATTATTTTGTCATTTTGTGCCCCAAAAATCATTATATCTTCCTAATGAAGATAAGCAATTGTTCTATATTTTTTTTGTATTTGAATAAATAAAAACAAATTCTTGCATGCTTCATTCAGCGCACACACAATTAAAAATTGTTTTATTGTGGCCGGATATCCGACGCAATATGGCGGCGGCACGCCAGTACAATATAGTGTCAATTGATGACGTCATTTGCATTTGCCAGTGTACTGGGTTGTATTTCGGAATATACCCTAGTTCAAGGGATATGATACCAGACGGCGACACTATTCATATCGGGTAACAAAAAATCCTAGGAGATGGCTCTCTATTTCTGTATATATTACTCTACTCTATGACCACTGCCGCCGTTTTGCTCTCCACTGCTTGCAGGTAGCTGCCGTACTACGAGGCGTTGACGCAGGGCGAAGTATCGTTCAATAAAGTTCATTGCGGTGTCTTAATAATAATGTTTGCTTTTTAAAATGAGTGAATTATTTGTTTGACTTCGGTTTTATTGTTAAAATCGACTTAAAATGTATTATTTTACTCATCAATGATAAGTAATTTCCTTTCCTGAACCGTTGGTACAGTTCGAAGCACTGCAATAGACCATTTTCAACCACGTGCACTACGACTGACACTTGACGACAGTTTGTTTCGAACCGGGACAAACTTGTGTCTGAAGTCGAGTCTTTGCTGAACAGAATCTTGGATTGGGGGCGACTAAATCTAGTCCTGTTTAACCCCCAGAAGACATAAATTTGTGCGTTAACCGCTAAAAAGAACCCCTTTGTCGTATCTCCCCAGTTTCGAGGCACTCCCCTCGTTGCCTCAGCCATTATCGATATCCTCGGCGTCGACATATCGAGTGAAGTGCAGTTTCGTGGTCACTTGTTAGAGAAGGTCAAATTGGCCTCTAAAAAGCTTGGCGTGCTCAGCAGAGCGGGACAGTATTTCATGCCAGCTCACCGCCTGCAACTTTACAAGGCACAGGTTCGACCGCACGTGGAATACTGTTCCCATCTCTGGGCTGGGGCTTCCCACTACCAGCTCCTTCCACTTGACCGCATCCAGCGCAGAGCAGCTCAAATCATCGACGACCGAGTGCTTTCCGATCAGCTCGATTCACTGGCGCTGTGAAGAGATGTTGCATCTCTTTGCATTTTCTTTCCCATTTACCATGGGGAGTACTCTGAGGAATTGTTCGGATTAATCCCAGCCGCCAAATTTCGTGAACGCAATACGCGGCAAACGTCCCGATACCATCCACATCATCTGGATGCTTGGCAGTTCACCACTGTACGTTTCAAAAGGAGTTTTCTTCCGCGTACAATCTCTCCGTGGAATAGTTTACCACCGGCGATTTTTCCGGACTGATACGACCTGGGGACCTTCAAGAAAAGAGCTTACTCCTTTCTAAAGGGCCGGCAACGCACCTGCGATTCTCCTGGTGTTGCAGTTGATCATGGGCGGCGGTAGTCACTTAACATCAGGTGAGCCGCATGCTCGTTTGCCCCCTCTACTATAAAATAAAAACTGAGTCAGGAAATGCTAGTAGTTGGCTTTTAAGTCACATACACTGCGCGCGTTCCCGCCTCGTGTAACATTTGTATTGCGCTATAATAGGTGTTCTGTGATTGCATCAGACAATGAAGGCGTAGGTACGTGCGAAGGGGTAAGTAATAATCGGCCTCACTATGCTGCTGTGCAGCCATAGGATCATGCTGGGATGCAAGCCCCAGCTGATCTCAACCATACGACTGCACGTATCTAAAACAATTTTAGCTTTATTACATACGTTCCTAAAGTGACAGTTCCACGTTAGCTTTTGATGGATTTTTATGCCCAAATACTTAACTTTTTCG